TTCGATCAGGGCCACGTCTGGGCCGAGGATCCCAAAGGACTCGTCTTTCGTGAAGTGCGCGGTGAGCTCCGCCCGGGCTGCTTGTTGGACGTTGCACAACAACCTCAACGTCTCATGGCTCACACGTGCTTTCATCAGACCGAGCCGTGGCAGGGCGACCGTGTCCTGCTGGTGGGTTTCACGGTTCGGGACCCGTGCGCTCTCAGCTCAGAACATGTCCACACCTTGCAAACTCTGGGCTTTGTGCTGCCATCCTCTGCTCCGCTGAAGCAAGGGGGTGAGAATGATGTCGCCGATGATTGCAGCCCCCTGTCTCCTGATAGCACCCCCCGTGAGGTGCCCTTCGGGGCCCTTGACCCCGGTAGCACCCCTCTGGGAGGGACCACCCCGGAGGCTCCAGATAACACCCCGGCAGATGGGCCCACTCTGCCGGCACCCGACACTAGTCACAGTCTTCCCGCTTCCCCAGGACGTGCCGTTGTGACAGATGACGATGAAGCGTTTGATCCTACAACTAGTCGGTGTCGGGGTCCTCCCATTAGGTGCCGGCACACTCCTGAGTGGAGAGAGTTGATTGACGGTTTCGGCTTGTGCTCGCCGGGTCGATGGCGACCGGTGGCAAGGAATGCTAAGGCTAGTTCGGAGGAGTGGGACCATGCACAGGATCTTCGGAAGATCCTCCAACGCGCTGTGCATGCGACCATCCCAGACCTCCGAAAAGCTGCTTACCTCTTAGCAGCGGGACGGATGCCATCTTCACCTTTCAGCAGCAAGCTGATTGAGGACACGCGTGAACAGATCGCTAAGACCCTGCCCGATCCTGAACAGGCCATGTGCCAACCGGCAGGGCAGCCTTTCATGTTGCACATGATGTCCCAATCGCTTAAGCTCCTAGGGGATCCGGACTACGAAATCCTTGACCAAGGGAATGAATGCTTCGCCGAGGGTGTTCCTTTGGGGTGGGATAGACCAATCCCCCGCACTCCTCAGGTTTTCCCTAAGCGCACGCACTTCAAGAAACTGGATGAGTCTGATTTTGATCCGTCGATGTTGAATTACCGCTCAGCCGAGCTGAATGCTGATCAACTGGAGGAGAAGTTCCGCCAGGATGAACAAGCTGGCTTAATGCTTTGCACTACGGAGCTGGAAGCTCGCCGGAAGTACGGCGAGGACTCGGTACTCATCGCGGCCATGGGCGCCGTCACCAAGGCAAACGGTGACGTGCGCCCATTACACGATGGGACCCACGGCATCAACTTGAATAACTCGATCAAGATCCTTGACAAGCTGCAAGTCCCAGGACCGGAAGATCTTCAGGAAGTTGCCTCCCGGGTCAAAGAAAGTAAAGAAGCCCCTTTCACACTTTGTGCCGACATTAGTCAAGCCCACAGGAATGCAAAAATCAGGGAGTGCGACTGGCCCCGGTTAGCATGTAAATCTTCTAGCACTTCCCGTGTCTTGTGGCTCAATAAAGTAGGAACTTTCGGGGTCAGCTCGGCGGCTTACTACTGGACGCGCTTGTTCGCCACTGTGGGAAGGTGGACCTTCCGCGTGCTGCATCTTGATAAATTTTACATGCTAATTTATGTCGATGACCTTCACGTGGTGGTGTATGGTGCAGACAAATTTGAGACGCTGTGGCTCCTCTTCTTGGCGATGGAAGTCTTGGGGACACCCTTCTCCTTCCACAAGTTCAAAGGGGGTGTCAACGTGGATTACATCGGCTACCACATCAGTTACTACGACTGGGCCGCCGGGATTTCCGAGAAGCGTGCTGCTTGGATCGTCGAATGGGTGGACCGTGCGGAAGCCGCGAATTGGGTGGTGACCGGCCGGGCACTGTCTGAGTTCACGGGTCGCTTGAGCTTTGTGACCCGGCTCCTCACATGGTTGAAGCCGTTCCTGGCCCCGCTTTTCGCTTGGGGCAATGCGTTGAACCGGAGCACCGCGGCTCAGGCTCCTGAGATGGTGATCCACGTGCTCAGGTTTTACCGCTGGCAATTCTTGAATGGAGCTCGGTTGGATGCTGTTCACATGTGCTGGCCTTCCCACGAGCGGCAAGCCTTCAGGACAGATGCCAAATGCGAGGCGGGACGGATCGTGCTGGGTGGATGGTCTCTTGACCATGGCTTGGACACCCGCCGGGCACCTTGGTTTGCGCTGGAGGTCTTCCCTTCTGATATGCCGGCGTTGTTCAAGGAAGATGGGTCATCCGAATGGGCTTCGACAGCTGCGGAGTTGCTGGCTTCTTATGCCGGCTTGGTTGCATTCAAGCACTTGGAGCCGGCCGGGGGTCGCGATGCACTTCGCTTGCAGGTCCATGCTGGCACGGACAATTCAGCCACGCCAGCCGTACTTGAGAAAGGGATCAGCAACAAGTGGCCTGTGCAGGGCCTGCACATGCAATTGTCGGTTTCGCTGCGACATGCCAATAAGGTGTGTAAGTTGTCATGGCGCCCGCGCGAGGAGAACCAGGACGCTGATGATCTGACGAATCTCAGACTTGACAATTTCGATCCCGCCTTGCGGATCCCGCTATCGCTATCGGCTATCCCGCTTGATCTTTTCAACCGCCTTCAGGACTCCCATGCGGGCTTCTTGTCTGAGAAATCCAGGTTGTCAAACTTGAAGCGGCATGAGCCGAAGGCGACGAAGAGGCAGAAGCTTCTTGATAAGACCAGCTGGTAAATCGGTGCGTTCACTGGGGCCGCCTTGCAACGGGTTCTTCTAAAGTTGGGGGATGCTTCGGAACCGGTTGCTGCTGCAACCCCGTTCTGCCGTAAGTGCTGTGGCTCCCTCACTTGTGCCTGTAGGCTGAGAGGTTGAATCCAATGGAGCGGTCCCAACACACATCCGGAAAAAGATCGAAGCTGTCCGAGAGTGCATGCATCACACATGTTCGGGAGTTCGTGCTGTCATGCCTTTTGCGATTTGATTTTTCCCTACACCTTATGCCCTGCCACCCTAGAGCCGCTGCCTTTTGGTTCAAACGACGGGACAAACCGTTTGGGTTTCCCAAAAGGATTGTCTCGTAGTTTGAGCCGGGCGGGTGGGCCGGGGGAAAAGTTGTGTAAGAAAATGAAATGGAATTTTCTCGATTGCACTTCGCTTATTCCTTTGCTTGCATTCGGTTGCCAACAGCCTTGAGTTTGCACAGCTGGGAGTTCTGCCGAACGAATGATTCTCCTCCGTGGCCAATTCGGGTCCGAGACAATTTTGTGACCCACCCACGCCACCCTTGGTTCTTGCAAAGCAAATCTTGAAGGCTACAGTGTTTAACGTATCACTTATGTGCATGTGCACCTCTGGATGTGCAGATACGCGTGACATCCTGCAATGGGGGATGCTTCGGAACCGGTTGCTGCTGCAACCGCGTTCTGCCGTAAGTGCTGTGGCTCCCTCACTTGTGCCTGTAGGCTGAGAGGTTGAATCCAATGGAGCGGTCCCAACACACATCCGGAAAAAGATCGAAGCTGTCCGAGAGTGCATGCATCACACATGTTCGGGAGTTCGTGCTGTCATGCCTTTTGCGATTTGATTTTTCCCTACACCTTATGCCCTGCCACCCTAGAGCCGCTGCCTTTTGGTTCAAACGACGGGACAATGCATCCTTGTCGTCCTCGACCACTTCGATGCCCGGCACCGTGATGATCATCTCGGCGTAGCCCTTCAAGCCGAGGTCGCTCTCCTTGGGGGGGTTAGGGGTTTAGGGGTGTAGGGTTTAGGGGTTTAATGAGTTTAATGGTTTGGGGGTTTAGGGTTTATGGTCTAGGGGTTGAGGGTTTGGGGTTTAGTGGTTTAGGCGGGGGACTTAGTAAGTAGTTAGTAAGTAGATTTATAAGTGCCCTAAGAGGGACCCAAATTGGGGTTATGGTACAAAAGACAAAATCCGTCCCTAAAATAACCAGAAGAAAAATCCCCCAACCCTCCAAGTCCTCCACCTGCTTCAGCGTGACGGTCTCGAACGGCACACCCTTCGCTGCAGCATACTTCCTGCGTGCTCGCGACTGATATGCCTCCGTCTCGTAAGTTGGCGAGCTGTCCATCTGGCTGGCTACCTCCTGCCACTCTTCCTCCTGCGTCGAGCTCGACAGCCGCTCTACGAGCAGGAAGTTTTCTGCCCGCGTCCATTTGTTAAACTCGCAGAAGATCTCCTGACCAAAGGGCCCACAAAAAGGAAAAACACCAAAACGAAGAAGCTTGAAACTCACCAAACCAAAAATCCTCTTGTGTCCAAGGCACCCCAAACTGACGGCACATCGCCACGTAGTTGTCGGTCTGTCGCTTCGCCTCTGGCTCGTGAGCCCCTCCGAAGTGGACTCTCAACTGAAGCTCCGATTTCCAGCTGCCCAGCTCTTGCTGACGGTTAACGTTCCTAAGTTGGCTTCAGAATCACTATAGTTTATCTTCCTCATAACAAGCAAAAACGGGAGATCCAAACAATGCAGGAAAATGATTTCTGTACTGTGTGCAAACACTGAACAAAACATCCAAGATTCCTCAGAACTCTCGTCCGCTGCCGGACGACCTTCTCGAAGGATCTCTCGATCGCCCAGGTGATCCTAGGTGCCGAACTGGAGCAAATCTTGAGTTGCGTGCTCATAAGGCGTTGCAACACTGTGGCGATTGCTTCTGTCGAACCGGGCAACCCTTTCTGCTAGGCACAGCTGGAAGTTCAGCGCACCGATCTTTGTCCATCGGAATTGCCCAAAAAAGCCGGATGCATTGTGTTGGTTTTAGGCCACTAGTTCTGTGTGGATGCATTCTCTTTCATGCATTAGGCCTCTCGAGTCAGTTGAAGGGCATGTCTTGTGATTGAGCCTTGGTCAGTGAAAACCACATAGGGAAGTTGTCGGCTCAGTGTTCACGGTAGGACATGTCATGCGGCTTACAGTCATGTCACGAGTTTTCTTATCTAACCTACGCGAGCTTACCGAACACATTTGTTTCTTTTGCACTTATCCTCAACATACCGCTAAAAACACTGCTTAGGCCTGCTGATGGCGATGTCAGAACCCAACCCCATGTTGGCTTTTTCAGAGGCAGCAAATGAACAGGTGAGGCCGATGCGGGCCTTATTGGAAGGCTCGGGCATCCCGGAGCCTATATGGAAGGATTTGTCCGTCTTTGCCCCGGATGAGTTCGGGTCTCTGTCTGAAGCAGAAATTCAGGAGTTCTTAGATGGCATCACGTACCCTGCTGAGCCCTCAGATCTGTTGGTGAAGGCTAGGATTCGCCTCTTGTGGCGGAGGTGCCTGAAGTGGGGGGCAACCCTGCAACCGGATCCTCCCCAGACCACTCCCATGGGGGGCACAGGTGCAATTGCCGAGCAGGCTTCGTGGTCTGAGGCGTTCCCAAGGCGTCTCAGTGGCGACACCGTCCGCCAAATGGTCAAGTCTTTCAGTGAGAAATACCCTTCTGAACCATTAAGCCCCGACATAATGCCATCACCACGACTTCTGTCATTGGTTCATCAGCAGCTGCAGGACAAGCGGTGGCGATGGATACCGTGGAAGTTGCGATTGTCAGAGGAGCAATATGATTCTAAGTCCCTGAAGCGTTCCCTTAAGGCCCCACGCTTGGAAAATCTGCTATGGGAGGAGATACCCAGTAGAGAGCTGCCCACGCAGGGCATGGCTAAGAGTGTCATGGCAGAGTTGGTTCATTTGCAAGCAGTGGCAATTGCACTAGCTGATGGTGCCCACCTCTACACCTTGCGGGAGATGAACCGAAAATTTCTAGCCAAATGTTTCGATCACTTGCCGCGGGATGCGGGGTTGCGGGTGCCGAACAGGTTGGAGGCCGAGACTGCAGAGAAACAGCTTTGGCAACAGATTTCGGTGTTGTTCAATGAAGAGAACTGGACAATGGATCAGGCGATACGCGAGGTTGTAGTTGCTCGCAACGAGCTTCATGTGTTGCTCATGCCGAGGGCCGTCGCACCTAAAATTCCCTGGCTACCGTGGCAACCGCGTCGCATCAAAGGTGATGGCAAGCAGGGGTCCCACGGCAAGGGCGGCAAAGGGGATAAGGGTTCTAAGGGCGGTACTAAGGATGGTAAAGGTTCCCAGCGTCATACCCTGATGGTCCATGGCTTGCGAGTGGGCACCTGATGGATGGAAGGCAAGAACAGGCGCCTTCTGTGTGCCGGTTTTCAGCAGGGCAAGTGCAATCGCGATCAATGCAAGTTCGAGCATGTGTGTGGTGTGATTTTGCCAAATAATCGCATGTGTCTCGGGGATCACAGTCCAGCCGAGCACAAGCAAACGCCCCACTGACAGGCGGGGTGCATGTCTCAGCCCCTGGAGTCGCCCCAATCGGGCGTTGTTCTTGCGGACGCAGACATGTCGGTCATACGTGCGGCTGAGGCATGTGAACCCATGCACACTGGCCATACTGTTTGCTTTGAGCCACAATCTGATGCTGAGGAGTCCAATCTTGATTTCTCTGGTTTTCCACAATGTGATTCGTCAGGTAGCGCCCTGGCCACGTTTTCTGAAGTCCCACCGGTGCCCGCAGCAGTGGATGCTCCGAGCTCTGTGTCGAATGCCGCATGTGCCGCAGTGGCAGACCCGTCGTCTGCCGTGTCAGATGCATGTGACACAATCTTGAATATTTTGCAATCCGTGGATTGGCCGCCGTGCCATACAGCAAGGGCTGTGTTGCAACCGCGTGACAACGATGGAACCGGTTACTGGAATTTTGGGGTTAGGCCCTCAGAACCCGCAGCCCTTACTTCTATCACCCAAGATAAACCCGATGTAGTTCGCCGTTTGAATGCCTTGTTTAAGGTTCTTTGGCCGGATCAATTTTGGAATTCGATTTGTATAAATCTCAACCGCGTAGCTAGCCTTCACCAGGACTTAGCGAACAGTGAGGGCTCCATGAATTTGAATGTCTCCGTTGGGGACTTTCAGGGGGGTGCGTTGTGGCTGGAGTCAGCAACAGGCACTTTGTGGTGGCGCCAGCCACCAGGCAGCCAGCACTGGATCAAGGGCGAAGAAGTCCAGACATTTCGGAATCCCGTTACTTTTCCAGCTTGTGCCTGGCATGAAACGATGCCGTTTGTGGGCAAAAAGATGGTCCATCACTTGATACACGTTGCCCCATGTGCCGGAGGGAACGTTAGCCAAACTTGGTTTTCCGGAGGTATCTCCGGCGCAACTTCCTCCTGTGTCACCGACACAGGAGTCAGCTGCCACATCAGCGGTTAATTCCACCGCGCCAATCTCGGTCTTGCCACCGGTGGTGGCCACGCAGCATCGCCCTCTTTTCTTCTTGGATCTTTTCGCTGGTCCAGATCACCACTGTGTCAGGAGGCCGCACGTCGGGGATGGGCATGTATTCCCTTGTTTTTCTACATAACAAGGCGTCAGACTTACGCGATGATCGCATCTTCGATGGTCTCTTGAAGCTGTCCCACTCAGGTGCAGTAGCGTTTGCAAATGCATCCCCTCCTTGCTGCGAATACAGCATTGTGAAGCAGTTTGGTGGCGGACCGGCTCCCTGCCGATCATGGGAATGCTTGGGAGGCTTTCCCTCCAATAATGCCGAAGCCCAAGAGCGTGTTCAGTCCAGCCACCTTCTGTTGTCTCGGGCAATCATGCTTTTGCACGCTGTGTTTCAGAGTGGTAATCACGTAAGTTTGGAACAACCTCGTACTCTATGGCATGGGCCGAGCCCGTGACACAGGCCTTCTTGCTGGAAATTGCGGCGGATGTGATTCAGGTTGCAGCTTGCAGCTATGGTTCGAGCTATGCAAAGCACTGGGCCTTCGCCACAAGTTGGCGACCTTTACAGCAGTTGCAAAGCACGTGCCGGCACACGGCGGGTCATCATGATGTGTTTCACGGCAAACGTGACGCCACAGGACAGTTCGTGTCTCGTCATACAGCGGTGTTCCCTCCCATGCTGTGCAATGCGTTCATGGAGGCCATTAGCCCCTTGTTTCCAGAGAACACGCAAGTTACCGGCTTCACGTCTTTGCATCAGGCACTTTCTGCCTTGCCGGTTCGCCCCTTGAACGATTTCCCGACTGGCCAACAGGATGGCGGCGGCATTTACAGCCAGCCCGACTGGACGTCTCCTCCGGCGGGACAAAAGGACACCTTCCGCCAGTTGCGTCAAGATTTGTGGGGATTTTTCAAACAGCATAAACTTTTTGATCGCCTCCGCAAACATGTCAGCGAGTCATCGCAAAAGCCACTCATTCAGCAGCATGAGCTCCCAGCATTGCGAGCAATTTGGGAAGATTGGTTTAGAGCTCAAGGCTTCGCGGATTCAGTTTCATGGGAGATCGCGCCCGACCAGCCTTACTGTCTTCAGGCGCTTGAGCTTCTGAGCAAGGCTCTTGACGACCGTGATGTGGAGCTTTGGAAGGACTTGCAGGCTGGGGTGCCAACGGGTGTTGATGGTGACATTTCTATGAGCAGTTGTTTCTTGCCTGCCCCAGCGAATTTCGATCCAGACGATTTTGATGTGCAAGTGTGTTCGGGCAACTGGCCCGGGGCCAATGAGGAGCCAGAATTGCTGGCGGAACTTGTGCAAAAAGAGGTGGACAAGGGATATGTGCACGTCTTCGATTCTCTCGAAGAGGCCCAAGCCAAATGGTCCCGCGTCGCTGTAGGCAAAGTAAATGTAGTGAAAAGTGGTTCTAGAGATCCTCGGTTAATTGTCGATCCATCAGTTAGTGGGGTTAACCCTAGCTGCCACTTGCCTGAGCGCTTTCTTCTCCCAGGTCTCGGGGACATCCGGGCAGTGTATCCCCTCAGGGGGGTGTCGGGCTGTATAGCCGCATGCACGTTAGACATACAGGCTGCCCACAAAACCGTTCGGATTCGGGCGAGTGAACAAGGATTACTTGGATTTTGCGTGAACGGCAAATACTATTTTTATAAAGTGGCACCATTTGGAGGTTCTTTTGGCAACGCGTAGCGGGCTTTTATGTTCGCACCGGCCATCGCCTGATCTTCATCAGCCACGTCCTACTTATGTACGTGGACGACGCTTTACTCCTTCAGCATAGTTCGGCCATCGAGTTTTCCGCGCTCTTGATGGTGGCATTTTCACAATCGCTTGGATACCCGATCAGTTGGCGTAAGCTCCAGCTGGGGCCCAAGCTGGAATATATTGGTTGGCGGATTAATTTCCGTGCAGAGACGTTTTGTCTGCCTGATTCTAAGGTGGCGAAACTTTTGCAAAGCCTGATGCAAGTGCTCCGGTCCGATCCTTGCACCAAGCGTGATTTGCAGGCTCTCATCGGTCTCCTTCACTGGGTGTTGCAGATGTCGCCCGAGTTGCTACCGTGGCTGTGCTGCTTGTATCACGACATGTCTCGTCCCTTGGGCACAAATTTTTCCTTGCATGCGGGTGCCTGGCAACAGTTAGCGGATACCTTGACTGATGATTTGCATTTCCGCAAATCGCCACCAGGGTCGACCATCCCCCCGGGAAGCAAGTTGTTGAGTGCACGACATGTAGAGATCAAGTGCAAAGCGGACTTGCGGCTGGTTAGGGCCACAGGCAAGCGGATCTGGATTCGTGTGGCGGATGCATCATCCAGCAAGCGTCGAATCAGCACGGTGAGCAGACAGTTCATCATGTTCTGGGTGCACTTTTGCATGCGGCCTCAGATGCCCAGCTGTTTGTCTCTGCCACCTTTGGACTTTCAGTATTCCTTAGCTGCTGACGCTTGTGCTAAGGGCAACGACATTGGGATTGGCGGATGGGTTGAATTGCCGAATCAGCCCATCGTTTGGTTTTCCGAGTGGTTTACGGTCCAAGACTTCCGTTCGCTGGGCTTGCCCATGCAAGATGATGCTAATTTGGACATCACGGCGTATGAGACGCTGGCACAACTGGCTCTCTTGATAGCTTTCATTTCCATCACTCCTACCGGACGACTTCGGGTGTGCATCCCATCTTGGTCGGATAACTCGGGGACCGAGTCCTTGACGAACAAGCTTTTCACAGTACATACACCGCTGTGCTTCTTCGCTCAGAAACTGGCCACGCGGAGTTGGCAGTCTGGCATCTCTCTGGATTGTACACACATCGCGGGATGTCACAATGATAGCGCTGATTTCTTGAGTAAGATGGAAAGGCGACTTGCAGGCACTTCCTTCCCGGTTCCACTTGGATCATCGGGTTCGATGCCCACTCACAGTCTTGTGGGAGGGCGAGCGCGATGTTCGGGTTTTCCCGCCAGATGCTAAGCTGCTATGGCAGCCGCCTGTATCGTCCTTCAATGAACAAAGTGCGTAAGCACACGGCATCGGGCAGGTTCAACATCTCACGGTGCGCGGTCGGCCTAGCCTTCCCCCGTGGGCTCTTGGGGTTCCTGCAACACCGGTGTTGTTGTGCATCATCGTCGGGGTTCGACACTCACGGCGCGCGGTCGGCTTGCCTTCCCCCGTGAGCGTTGCAGGCCACTAGGTGCACTGGTAGCATACGCAGGGCGTCATTGCTCGTTGAGTACTGTGTCCTACTAATGTATCATTGTGGTGTGTTCAACCGAATGCGGTGACGCTTTTTTCGGGCGTAACGCCCACTCAGGCTCAGTCGGCCTCACGTTTCGGTAGTGGGAGTGCAGAGCTTGCGAGTCCGACCTCTCCTTTGTGGCAGTTTACGGTCCTGGTGTTCGTACACATTCTTGCATCTGCATTTGACATACTGCTGCTGCACGAAGTGTCTTACCGCCAAAAAGGAGAGGATCGAACCGCAGTGTTGATACACATGATGTGAATATGTTTATATATGATTGATAGAAATTTGTGGGAGTATACTTTGCGGCTAGATGGAAATGTAGAACGCTTTTTGTGCTTGCTCAAAACTGTTTTACATTTCTTATCTAACGCTTGTTGGTTCATCCTTGATGCACATCTAGCCGCAAAGCTGCTCGAGCAGAGAAAGGTCAAGAAAGGCCCCACCCGCCCACCCTGTGTGGTGTGGTTTCTACTGTGTGCATACCTCTTGTCATAGTCAAGAACTTGGTGCATTGTGCATTCTCTGTACATTGAGGTGCGGAGACTGAATGCATACGACTTCCGGCTTACGTCCTGTGCTATATTAGCTTTCTTATGGCATGGCGATTGATATTGTTACACTTCTGCAGCCGGTGTTCGTACACATTCTTGCATCTGCATTTGACATACTGCTGCTGCACGAAGTGTCTTACCGCCAAAAAGGAGAGGATCGAACCGCAGTGTTGATACCAATGATGTGAATATGTTTATATATGATTGATAGAAATTTGTGGGAGTATACTTTGCGGCTAGATGGAAATGTAGAACGATCAGAAAGCCGCCAATGAGGGCAGGCAGGACCATATGGGAGTGGACTGTCGGCGACTTTCGAGCTACGCGAAATCTGCCCATTGCAGGAGCAGGTTGGGCGCCGCATCCGGCATGCCTGGGAACGGGGAGTGGTGGCTGTACACCATCCGCAAGTGGATCCAAACAACTTTGCATACCCGCCGGTCTACCAGGGGCGCTTTCGCATTTACCTACCACTGTCGGAGGAAGCGCTGGGATTGAAGCCTGCTGCGGCGCTGCAAGCTAATTAGCTTGCAGCCGGCTGGTCTGTTAGCCGGTGCGCTGGCGCGGGTTCGCCAGTGGACCCAAAATGGTTACGACCTCCAGCAGGCGTTGGCCGTCTGGCTCCCGGGGCCCAAGCGGATCACCATGTGGTATCCCGAGCGCTTCTTCCTACTGGGACAGCATCTCTTAGAGGGGCGCTTCGCTGAGATTGTGCGCAGGAACTTCGCGGATGTGCCGATGCTCCCTTTCGTCCCGTATCAGCCATCTCAAGCTTGGGACCGGGATCAGCTTTGAGGAGTGGGTAGCTGCGGCCCGACAATTCCGGCAGGGAGGCGGGCTGGCGGAAGGACTGCGGTATCCCTTCTTGGGTTACCGGCCCGTACCCACATATCATAAGGCCACCAAAAAGTATTGGTTTACCAGAGCGCAGCTGGATCGGCGATATGAGGCGGGCGAATGGACCTTTTGGCCACTTCCGCCGGATTCTTTGGGATTTGGCGATGCGCTACTGGGGATGGCATGCGCAGGAGGTTCGCCTGCAGCCACCGGGCGGGTGAATTACACGGTCGTGGAGGGCCACTTCACAACCCTGCCCTGGCCATTCGGCTTAGCGGCGGTGGTGGCGTGAGGGTGCGCACCATATTGCCCCAAAACCGCACGACTGAGACACCCCGCCCTAGCGGTTGCCTTGGGTCATTCTCTCGACGATAAAAACCTTCGAACAAACCTCCTGTCTTCCCACAACCTGGAGCTGCCGACACTCACACCAGACAGAAGAGTCCTGGTCGCAAACGAGGGCATTTGCCAGTTCCTGGCCGCACAACACCCAGGTCAAGAACGTCACTGGCGGACATTGTCCATGACACCTGTGCAAGGGGGCCAGCTTCTGCTCCAGCACGGCTATTGTGCAGAGCCACGGTTGAGGAGGGCCACTTCACAACCCTGCCCTGGCCATTCGGCTTAGCGGCGGTGGTGGCGAGGGTGCGCACCATATTGCCCCAAAACCGCGCGACTGAGGCACCCCGCCCGAGCGGTTGCCTTGGGTCATTCACTTCGCGGTGCCGACGATGAGGTGTGGTGGCGGACAGTGACAGTAGCCGTCATTAGCCGGCATTCTGTGTGCAAGCTATACATGGCCGTCGTACACGACATTCACTCCACTGATTGACTGGCTGCCCGCTTTTTTCCTCGCTGCAGCGTCGGCCCTTATAGCACAGGTAGGTGAGCCGCCATGTCCATGGTCTCTGAGGATTTCGTGGCGCATGTTGCCACGTATATCTCGGTACAGGCACTGCCAATGCTGTTTGGGGCTCCACCATCGACTGCCACTCGACATTTATTGGGCGCCATCAACACGCAGGAGCGCAAGGCAGCTAGCCTCGCCCTTCAGCAGCAGTCTGCTGAGTACCAACGCCGTGTCGTCGCATACTTGGCGCAACGTACCTTCGTTGGCTACCGGGTCTCGACGAATTTCCAACTGATCGTGCGACTTGGATTCCAAGTGTGTGCCACTATTGTCCAAATCGATCTCGATGCGTTAGTGGTGCTGGCATCGGTGTCGCACCGGTCGTCCTCGAGCTCTACGGGGGCTCGGAGTTCCTACGGTCCTACATGCTGCGGCCATTCAGTCGGCGCTGGTTGACAGGCAGCCCTGGGCTATCTGGTGGCCTGGCTTGGTGGGGCTGCCATACTTCAGCATGGAGCCGCTGGACGGGCTTCCACTTACGCGCCTACTTTCTCCGTTATCCAATTGCGTCCCACCTCGCAGGGACTCTTCTTTCTCCAATTAGTCCTGGCCCTTGCGAGGCCCGCTGCGGTGGGAAGCTGGGCATGGGCAACTTTGTATTGTTGGCTCGATTTTTCCATTGGGGGTGCTGCGTGTGCTGGTATTCCTTCCTGCCCTTGCGAGACCCATCGTTGGGAAGCTGGGCCTTACAAGTGGTGCTATGACGAGGCTACCTGGGTACGGCAAGAGCATCCACTTGCTACGCTACTTTGTGTGTGAGAACAAAGGCCCTTGCGAGGCCCACCTCGGTGGGAAGCTGGGCCGGCTTTCACCATCAGTCATTTGCGATTTGCCCTTGCGAGCCCTGTCTTGGCAGGAAGCTGGACCTGAATTCATCTACAGCATATACCCTGGGCAAGCTCGGTGTTGCTCGGATGTTTGTATGGCGATTGGCCCTCCTTTCTGGCCAGATCCAACCCTTGGGGTGCCAGGCTTCTGCACACTGCACTCGTCGTGAGCTGCTGGGCTGCCAACGGTACCAAGGGAGACCATGCGTCTGCCATTGCGCAGCCCTGGGCTATCTGGTGGCCTGGCTTGGTGGGACTGCCATACTTCAGCATGGAGCCGCTGGACGGGCTTCCACTTACGCGCCTACTTTCTCCGTTATCCAATTGCGTCCCACCTCGCAGGGACTCTTCTTGCTCCGATTAGTCCTGGCCCTTGCGAGGCCGGCTGCGGTGGGAAGCTGGGCATGGTCAATTTTGTATTGTTTGCTCGTCTTTTCCCATTGGGGGTGCTGCGTGTGCTGGTATTCATTCCTGCCCTTGCGAGACCCATCGGTGGGAAGCTGGGCCTTACATGCGGTGCTATGACGAGGCTACCTGGGTACGGCAAGAGCATCCACTGGCTACGCTACCTTGTGTGTGAGCACAAAGGCCTTTGCGAGGCCCACCTCAGTGGGAAGCTGGGCCGTTTTTTATGATCAGCCATTTGCGATTTGCCCTTGCGAGCCCTGTCTTGGCAGGAAGCTGGGCCTGAATTCATCTTCAGCATATACCTTGGGCAAGCTCGGGATGCTCGGGTGTTTGTATGGCGATTGGCCCTCCTTTCTGGCCAGGTCCAACCCTTGGGTTGCCAGACTTCTGCACACTGCACTCGTGAGCTGCCTGTGCTGCCAACGGTACCAAGGGAGACCATGCATCTGCCATTGCGCAACTCAGTTTAACTGGGGAGCGGGGCGTCTGAGCGGGGGTAGCTGCTAGCCTCGTGCATGTTGCCGAACGACGTCTGCCGGCTAAGTCTGCTAGTCACGGCCTGTTTCACCGGTTTCTGCTTCGATTGTACAGTTTCTTTAGTTCTTGGCTTTCTTGTAGTTCTTGCTGGGACCGAGTGCAGCAACGCTGTCGATGAGGCCCGCCCACGCCAAAAAAAAATCAGTGTGGGCCCAGACGCAGACTCCAGTGCCCCACCCAGCCATGACAGTTTTGGTGTCAATATCAGCAATGCTTCTGGGACGCTCCCTGTGTTGGCTTCAACATGGGTCTGGTAGTTGACAGGAATCACAACAAATCAGATGGTGGCCGAAATGTGGATTTTCCTTGCGTCGTTGTCCATTCTACCGAGAATGCTTGCAAACTCTATTATCTGTATGTGCAGCGGCTGGACGAGATTGGCAAACAAACAAAACAAAAGAAGGCCGGCTGTCGTCAAGTTGCCTGCAGCATTGTTTGAGAGAGTCTTTGAGTTTTTCAAGAGATCGCAAAGGCCCAGCTCCCTTGCCAATTCACTTGTGTTGCTTGCAAATCTGTCATGCCTCAGGATCAGCACGCCGATGAGTTGCATATGCTGCATTTTCGGTGGATGTTGTTGGGTAGGGTCGTCATGCTGCGACCCAATCCGGGTCCGAAAATCAACGAAGCAAGCAAGGCTCCACATGTTCTGCGATGTCCTGTGCGTAGAAAATGTGGCAAACTGCCTGCTACAGGTCAGCATATGGGAGGCTGGCTGCTTCTTTTGGCAGCCCCGTGACAGAACAGTTGCCATGGTTGGTGCTTTCTGCGCTGCAGATGCCCGAGGTGTACCAAGCAGGTGCCGTGAGTGCGGACCTGAGACGAGCGCTTCGAATCAGGAACCGGCCTGTGCAAGCTGCATCTTGCCAGGTTTCTTGCGATCAAGCAACGAGGATAAAGCTATCACGTCGCTGGAGCCTCAACACCACCGTCAACTTGTTTTGGCCTGCTTGGAAATCTTTCATCATGTGCTTCAAGGTTGGTGGCTGCAGTGCAAGCGGACGTGCAATCCGAAGTCCACAGCCGAGCGAAGATCGCGCAATGTGAGTAGAGACCAATTCGAAGTGTGAGGTGCTCGCTCGGGATGGATTTCGGGTAGACCGGCACGCAGCCCGGAATGCTTCAACACATCTGCAACTGATGGGCACTGCAGAGGTCAGCTGGCCCCGTGCTGAGTTCGATGCCCAGATAGCGGTTGCGAAGCGCACCCAGCTTCGCACTTGGATGCGAGAGGCCCAGTGGACGGCGGAGCGCTGGGGGGGGCGGCTCCCGCTCCGGCTCCCGCTCCGGCGCCGGCGCCGGTTCCCGCACCCGGACCGGCTCCTGGGCCGGCACCGGCAGTCGTGGCAGCTCGGCGGTCCGGGTGAGATTTAAAGCCACAGCTGGACCGAACTGCTCCTCTTTGAGTTTCCAGAGGTCGCCGCATCTCCCACTGTGGGCAGCATCCCCTTGGGCGAAGGCTCGATGGGCCCTCCCACAGCGCTCAAGCTCAGGAAGTCCTGTTTGCGTGTATTTCTTCAGCAGTGGTGACCTTTGGCACGACGCAAGGTTGACTTCACGAGAACCGTGTGTGGGGTGGATTATTACATGCATGGGACCCGGCTTAGTGCCAGGGTAGGTGCAAGAATGCCTCGATTTCTGCGACCCGTGCAACTCTGCCCCAAGGCTTGCAGGCAAAGCAAAGCTGCAAGCATCATTCGAGCATGCGCTGAAGGAGGCGATCTTGTCCGAGGCAGCTTGATTCGGTTCACAAAGTTTTCTCCCACGGCAAGCAGAAGTCCTTCCAGGTTGGGCACAACCTCAAGGTCAGCCGGTCAGCCTTGCTTACATCGCGGTACACAGCAATCCTTCCAGGAGCAGGACGTCAAAGTGGAGCTCCGGCCTGCACCTGGAGCCGTCCTGGCACAGGTCAGCGGCATAATGGCAGCCTGACATCAGCTGCTGCTGACTCTGACGTTTCTGATCGTTTCTGAAACATCATCTGTGATGCTCGCTGCATGCCGAGTCTGTCATCGACGTGTCGGCAACCAGCGCACTTGCAGTAAGGCAGAGTGTCAGCACTCCGGCAGCTTCAACCGCTATTGTCAGCACACTCAAGCTGCAAGTTGTGCCCGTTGTGCAGGCAAGCGCTCGATGGTCATGTCGTCGAGTCAGACTTGGCAGGGTCCGTAGTGAGGAGTGACGAGTGACCATGTGGAGACTTTGAAGACGGTTGAAGCTTCAGGCCGTCGCCATCAGAACTCTGGCCGGAATCGACGAAGTGGGTACCGGTGCCGCGCTGAGTGCATGGATCCAGGATGTTCTCCTGTTCTTCTGCCACCTGTACCACCTGGTGCCACATCATGCCCTTCTAGAGGCACTATCGCAGTGCACGCTCAACCCTCAGAGTGCCAGGAGGGGATTGCAAATATGTCTGGTCATGAACATGTCTGGTCTTGTTCGGTGTTGAAAACCGAGTTGTCTTTGGTAGCCGTCGGCAGGACTCGGCTTCAGCGTCAGCCCATCCGAGCTTGAGTCGGTCGTGAACCATTGGCCTTCGACTTCGATGTGTTCTGGAGATTTTTCTCTGTTGCCCGTCTGCTTTGGCTCCAGCGTTGTTACTCCCGAACCGGGCGGATGCATCAAGATCGCTACAAGAACCGTGAAGTGCTACGGACTACGCTCCCCCAATGCCCGTGCCCATCGAGTCGAAGCTTCCTAATCGGCCGTACGATTAAGACTCTAGAAGTCTAGTCAATGTCAAAAACCGAGGGCTGAGCTGAAGCAGGATCGGAACCCAGCCAGGGAAGGGAATCATGCACCGGTGCATGTGATCGCGTCATGGGCAGGGCCATGCTCTTAGCAGACAAACTGTGGCTCGGCACCTCTCTGCACTCAAGTGCCTGTTCACAATGAGGCTTCGTCAGAGGGAACTGATGTGAAGCTGAAGGAATATTCTTGGAAGTTTTACACTTTGATGATACACATGCTTTGGCATTGAGTACTGACAAGGAGAAGAGAAAAGACAAAGAGGCGCTGAAGGAGAAGGAAAAGAAAGACAAGAAGGTCCCACTTGCACTACCTTTCTAGTGCATGATCAAATTACGGTGCGACAGCGCTGTCGCATATAAGTCACCGGGAGGAGTCTGAAAGAGACAAAAAGGACAAACAGCGGAAGGACAAGGAGCGTGAGAAGGAGAAGGGCAAGGAGAAGCCGAAGGCCAGACCAAAAGGTGATGGTGATAAGAGGAAGGAAGAGGACAGTGATGACGACATCGAGAAGGAGAAGGAGAAGGACAAGCTTGCCTTCCTTGCTGCCATCAAAGGTCTCAGAGAAAAAGACAAGAAGGCCTCTTCTCGTTTTAGGTCCATGTGACAGTGGGGTTGTGAACTTCAACATGGCAGAGTTCTGTCTGCAGCACAAGGTGGAGAAGAAGAAGCCGCAGCCGCTTGTCCAATCTGTCGAGGTCTCTTTTTCCATCTTTTTCCCGAATTGCCGGAGCCGAGGTCTGAGACAAAGAAGAAGCTCAAGACCGCCCGCAGTTCCAGCAGCGAAAAGAACCGCAAGGCGCGTGTTGCGGCTGCACGCGTCGCGGCAGAAGGCGCGGCTGCGACCTCAGCAGGAGCGGCGGGAGAAGCGACGGCGCTCAAAGGAGCGCAGCCGGCTCCTGGCTCGGTCTTCGTTTCGCTTCGCAGCGTCTGAGACCTCCTGCGTTCTTTTTCTGCAGGTCCAAAGATGACGAGTCCTCTGGCCGGCTGCTTTTGGAAGAACTCAGTGGTACTGCAGCAAAAAGCAGGTTCATGTGTCGCCCAAGGCTCGGACACGCCGGAAAAGCCGAAGAAAGATACGGCACTTGTGACCAGCTCTGGATTTGGTGCGCCTCTGGCTGGTGACCAGTATCGTTGTAGACAGATGCTCGTGAGAATCAGCTTGCCCGACCTGTGAGATCTTGGCCCAACCCCGAGGCACAGGCCAGGACTGTAGTGTAGCCTCGCCATTCTCCTGATGGAGGATCGGCTGCGACGCGCTGCCGAGGGCAGCGAAATGGTGCGAGAAGCTGGCGAGGCGACCCAGGAGGAGAAGTCAAGGCAGCTCCGACGCCTGGGCATCTTCGGTGGAGGCCTCCAGGTAGAGATGCTGTCTAGAGCTGTAGACTCCCAGGAGAATGATTCTGGAGAGGTAGCCTCAGGAGTTCAGCAGTTGGAGGAGGAAGATCTGGCAGCAGCAGCTTTGTCGTCAGAGCATCCGCAGGAGGATCACGATGTTCTGACAACGCAGATGATTGAGGATCATGTGACGTCGCCCTCCGTGACTGCTGGAGGTCCCCCAGCTGATCGGACTCCGGTGTGGTCTTCTGAGAGTGAAGCCTCTCAGAAGACCGTGGCAGCTGAGTCTGCAGAACTTCGAGCGGCTGCGAGGGAAGTGAAGCAAGAAGCAGAGGCTGCTCCTGAGGAAGAGGAGGACCCGCTGCCGATGCAGCTGGTGCAGGCTCCTCCACTGCGTCTGGGACCAGTCGCCAAGAGAGAGGCTCTGGAACAGGAGCTGGGCCCGACGGCTGCGGCAGCCTGCAGCCTCGCTGCCGGGCTGGTGGCACAGCAGCTTACAGCAGCTCACGAACGTGAGCTCAGTCGACAAGCCAATTGGCACAAGGGCAGATTGGAGGACGCCTGCACAGAGCGCGGGGAGGTGGACGTGTTCATGGAGCCCCTTGTCCCATTGGGCATTCAAGTGCATCCGCAGCCAGGCCGACTGGGAGCGCTACCGGGACATGTGTTTTCGGGCGACGGCCTCCGCTGATTTTTTTCGCTACACGCGGGGCCGCGCTTTCACCGCCTACAGTAAAAACCTCAGGGAGGTTTATGCCTCCAGCGGCAAGCAGGTCAGGCAGAATTCCGTCTTCCCGATGCACTTGATCAAGTTCCAGGCCTTGCCGGTTGATCGCCGCAGGGAGGTCTTGACGCATCTCATCGAGAAGGACCCCGAGCTCAAAGCCTCCGCGGAGGCTGCTGCCGCTCCTGCAGCTTCGCCGAAGAGGCCGCCGAAGAGATCGGCCTCCCAGCAGGAGGCTGCGCCTGCAGCTAAGAGGAGGATGCAGCGGCCTGCTGCTGCTCGGTCCGACTAACCGATTTCCAGGCCCGGTGGCTTTTTTTTTGGGGGTTCTCGGTCGGAGTGTGTTGTGCTGGAAGTTGTAGCATAGCATGTGCAGATCGTTTTTTGCACAAGCTCGCTAGGCGACCACGTCCCTTTTGACCACGTCCCTTTATGGGCACGGTCCGACGGACAGATTTCCAGGCCCGGTAGCTTTTTTTGTTTGGGTTTTCGGTCGTAGTGTCTTGTGCTGGAAGTGGTAGCATCTGCAGGTGTCCTTCTCACTCTCACCCTCCTCACTCCTCACCCTCCTCACTCTCACCCTCCTCACTCTCACCCTCCTCACTCTCACTCTCACTCTCACCCTCACACTCATCCTCCTCACTCTCCTCATTCTCACTCTCGCCCTGACCCGTCTCACTCTCACTCTCACCCTCATTCTCTTCACTCTCCTCGCTCTCATCCTTCTCACTCTCACTCTCACCCTCGCTCTCCTCACTCTCCTCGCTCTCACCCTCCTCCTTACTCTCGCCCCTCACTCCTGATTCGCTCTGCTTGGCCAAGGTGACACACTTTTGCAGCGCACTGCCATGTCGGCCAAGCGCCAGAAACAAAATCAAGGGGCCCCGATTCGCAGGCATTCACGCTTTCGCACGCTTTCGGGATGACTTGGTTACGAGATGCAGATGCTTGCCGAGGTACAGTCCAGCATTTCAGCAGTATCGTACCAGCAGCTGTGGGTGCCAGTGACGTCGGGTGCTCGGAATGCTTCATTAGAGCGCCCGTTCACGGTATCCGTTGAGACCGCGTGGAGGTCATTGGCGTCTTCTGCCGCTCTGCGGGGGCTGACCAGAACTCTGAGCAAGCGCTCAGAGCATTGCCTTTGCCACAGAGTGGGCGAACACCGTGTGAACTCAGAATGTGAACACACCCGAGGCCAGCACATCTTCAACAAGCCGTGATGGCAGAAGGACGGGCCTGACCCTGGCTTGTTGTCTACGTTTTGTCCAATGCCGCTCTTTTCTTGACCTAATTAACTTGGTTTAAGAGATTCGTGAGCAGGCTCCATTGCTGGCCTGAATCCATCAGCTGTGCTGATGGGTCGGATACGCAAGGTCAGTGGCCTAAACTCAGAACTCCCGGTCGAGCTGGCATGCCCAGTGCGAGAAATTCAGATTCAGAAGCTGCTTGTTCCTTAATTTCGGCTCAAGAGGAGAGCCTAGAAGCACTAGTGCTCCGCGAGATCGAAACCCCAACTCTCTCTCTCCACGTGTTGAACCTCAGATGTCTGAAAACACATGTTTCATGCAGGGTGTGCTTTGGACCATGCTGTGCAACCTGAGGTTTGCGCGTGGTTCTACATTAACTACGGACTTTACAATCTAAGGCTGCAAGATGCTGCAAGCTCAGATACTTGGAGTCGAGTCCAGAAATGCATTTTTGGTTCAGGCCATGGCTCCAGGCGGATGGTCGCTTCTTGCATTGATACAGGCCCGTGTGATTCATCTCAGGTCGCCTCCGATGTCTTCCCTGTGAAAGGTAGCCACCTGTCCCTTTTCAGTGGACGGGCGTGCCGATGGCTTTCTCGTTGAGAAGAAGGGTCTACGAGCGAAGCTGGCATGGTTTCTCGCTTGCGCTTCTGGCGCTTTTGCGCAGCGCCTGATGCCAAGCAGCTTCCAGGCCCGCAGCCTGGATGCAGAAGCCTTCAAGTCGGAGGTCCGAAATGCCATGGACGAGGCCACCACCACTCACGAAATCCCACAGATGTTTCCGTCGATCTTCCTGTCAATGGGCAAGGATTTGTTTTTCTGCAGAGGCATTGGGCTGCGGCGGGGAGGTCACCGAAGAGCATCTGCAGGCGACAGAAGAGGCACGGGCGTCCGGATTGGTAATCGCTGGGCTATTGGCATCGCAATGCCTGGAGGATCTCCGCAAGATGTTTGTCACACTGCCAAAGAACAGCAATGGGCGTCTGGAGAGAAGATCGCTGAGGCTGGAAGACCAGTTCGTTAACAAGCAAGTCTGTAGTCCCAATGGCTTCTGGTTACAGCCGCTGTTCTTTTCTTGACACCATCCGAGAGTCACTTGAGTGTTGCAACAGAGCCGTGTCAAGTGAAGTGGAGGCAGGGGATGGACACTGGAGAAGTTGGTTGGGTGGGTGGGTACACATGATGAGAGGTTTGAATGACTTTCGTAGTAAGCTTCCAAGGGCCCGCAGGCTAATGGGGGTCATGTGGTTGCTCGAGCCACGGCTGGACATTGCTGGAGAGGAAATGCAGAACACTCTCACCGCTGGTCGCACGAGGGGATCAGACGTGCGCGGCATGGATGGTTAAGTTGCCAATCTCTGCTCACTCGACAAAATGAGACAAAGTATCCACTACTGTACTCTCTACTCACTGCAAAATTCGGCAAGCAACAGCACGGACTACGAACGTCATGCCTGCCAGAGACATTCGATTCTTCGGCGTGTGGGGGCCCAACCCCTCGTGTTTTTGGTTCACTTTGTCTTTTTCTCCATGCCTAATGTCAGCTCCTGCTACGAGCCAGATATGCTTTCTGCAAGATTTAAAGAGGCAGATTGGCAGTCTCCTGCATGACACACAGTGGCAGGTGACAGGATGCGCTGAAAAAGCAGTGCAGCTTCTCTTGTTTTCTGTGCTGGAGAGGTATCTCGTGTACCGCTATTTTCATCGACGCTCGGCTTTGGTGCTCCGAGGCTTCGAGAGCCTTGGATAGCATCCAGCATATCCAGCCATCCAGCCACCCAACGCATGTTTTGTTCATTGTTCTTGGTAGAGCGGATGCAGTGATGGGACAGACTGCAGGCCAACTCGCCTTGTCAATGAATCAACGTGGGGTGCTGCCGATATTCTTAGTGAACAGGTGCCCGCAATGCATGTGTGATCATCTGTGCCGGTTCTCGCAGCAATGCATGTGCTGCGCCCAAAAGGTGCCTGGATTTGTGGAGTCAGTGCTGCATTCAAGCCACGTAGCAGAGAGCGGATTTGATTTGCGAGATGCTGCTTATATGGCTTCTCGGCTTCCTGTTTGCTTGAGCTTCGTGGTTCGGTCCAGTGCAGCCGCATGGCCGCTCCACAATTCTTCATTCGAGGTCGCGACGCTGGAACAGCTCATCTTCGACTCGGAGAGTGCCCTCTTGGAGAAGGCGGCAGCAGAACCAGGAGGAACGAGCATGCTGCATACTCGTAGAGAGGGAGAGAGAGAGAGAGAGAGAGAGAGAGAGAGAGAGAGAGAGAGAGAGAGAGAGCTAGAGGACCTCACAGGCCATTGCATGGGGGAGGGCTTGCCCTTGGGCTTGTGGAAAGAGAGAGCAGGAAAGAGAAGCAACGAGCAGTATGAAGGCTGTTGCGTTTCGGCTCAGGGTTGCGGGTGTCGGTTTTATTTGTTATTGCATCCGAGCTGTCTCAGTCAGCTTGCAGCACACCCTGAGCATGTTTCAACTCGTGCAATGCCTAAAGCCAGTTGCGAATCCAGAACCACACAATAGCTCTTGAAGCTTCATGGCACTATCTACAAGCGGTGCGAAGGGCATGGCGACGGACTCAGATGTGACCTCTCGACGGGCCTGAGACGGGTAGACTGATCACGGCATCTTGCTTTGTCAGTCCGGTACGGCCAGCCTGGTGAAAATGTTTGCCAAGGCTCGTCGTAGGTGCTAACATGCCTCCAACTGAATTGCAAGGGGCTTGCTATGATTTTCGCGCAGCAACAAGTAGCTAAGTAGCAGGCAAAGGCCATCAACGAAGAAGATGCGCAACGAGAGGCGGAGGAGGCCAAGCTGGGATACAAAGTCGATTGCTTGGTCGAGTCTGGGCGAGCCCTGGGATTTGGATGGCACCGACAAAACCTGACGTAATTATCGCTAAGAGCCATTACTTACAAGGCACAGGTAGGAGTGCTCGGTGGCTTTCCCGGAAGCAACACTGCCATTTGCAGGATACGAGGAAGAGGAGGGTCAAGAAGGAACCTCAGGCAAAGCCACATCATTGGATTGTCGAGCATGAGCAGCCTCACCGAGACAGGAAAAGCCGCAGAGGAAAGAGAAGGCGAAGACCAACGCAGGAGGCTTCGCCAAACGGGAGAGGGCCAATGCCAAGGCCAAGGTCCAGGCCAAAGCCAAGGCCAAGGCCAAGGCCAAAGCTAAGGCCGAAGCTAAGGCCAAGGTGAAGGCCACAGCCGCCAGAACCGCCAAAGCCAAAGCATCTCCAAAGGTCAAGGTCAAGAAGACGCTCGGCTTGACAGATGACAGTCTGGAGCTACCAACAGCTTCACGGAGCTGTAGATCAAACTGCACATGTCACTGCTGGAGCAGGGAATTGGGCGAAGATGCTGCTCAGAAGACCTCGGCATGCAGTTTAGACATGAATTGTTGTGGTGCAGAGAGTGACATCGTCCGAAAGCCTGGCTGCAGCTGCAAGGAAGCAGGTGCGCCGAAAAGCAGACAAGCAGAGCGCCCGAGGCCTACATGCTCGGGCGCTTGAGGCTGCTGTGCCCTTGCGCATGCAATGCATGTGAACATTCCCGCTCGGCAGGGTGATGTTGAAAGCTGACAGCTAGACCAAGGCTAAAGCGAAGGCGAAGACTAGAGCCCCAAAGGTGAAGGTCAAGAAGACTCTCGGCTTGACCGCTGACAGCGTGGTGTCGCGGAATAATAGGTGGGTATCAGATAGCACATGTCATTGTTTGGACAGGGAATTGGACGAAGATGCTGCTGGGAAGACCTTGGCATGCAGTCCAGAGTCCAGTGCAGACATGAGAACTGAGCGATTGTTCCTGGCAGCTGCAAGGAAGCGGGTTCGTAAAGATGCAGAGGAGCAGCGTGCCCGAGGCCTACACACTCGGGGTCGATGCTACCTGTCAGGTTTGCACGTGTGCATGTGCCCAGACTGCTGTTTCGGCCCTTCAAGCTTCACGAACACTGATCCGTGATCTCAAACCAAGCTGAGGAGATCCAGGTTTTGCCTTGTGATAGCACATTGACAATTCAAGCCACGCTGCTTGCCACGATTCGATGCGCGTGACCTCATGGCAGACATGCTGCAGCATTGAGGCCGGGACCTGGGACAAGCAATTCTACGTTCATCAGGTATTGTGCTCAGAGCATCAAAAACGAATGTGTGTGCAGTGCTTGATTTGTTTCGAGTCTGGTACTGAGGCAGGCTTCGTCGATCAGGCCTTTCTGACAGCTTTGGCATGGTCCCCTCGTTGCAGGGCAGACAGGGCTTCCCGAGCACCGGAAGGTCATGGCGACAGCTTGGGATGTTTGCTTTGGGGCCCTTGGAACTGGTATAGTGGGCGTTAGACCAGAGGCAGGGGGTGCCGCAGCACGCACTCCCACATGGAGTTCTCCAACAGGCTGCAGGAGAAGCTGCACGAGCTTCGACAGACACCCATGCAGGACCCGGGACGGTCACATCAGCGACGACAAATAACGACGTTAAGGCTTCCTGCTACAAGATCTGACACTTCGAAAGGAGCTGCCCCAAATGGAAAGGCCACAAGCTCGAGAGTGGAGGCATCCGTTCGAGAAAACCCAGCATTCGTTTGAACTCAGGCCAGAGGGTTGGCGAAGGATGACGTGTTGATTCTGTCAGCTGCCCATTGCCTTTTCACATGGCTTCTCGGCGTTTCCGTCATAACTCCAGGTTTCGAAACGCGCCAAAAAGAGCACCGCAGAGACGAGGGGGAAACATGTTGGCCACTTTCCAGCAACGGAAGTACCCCTGGTCGCACACCTTGCAGGGCGCTTCCCAACTGCAGATTTGCAGGCCGGCTATCGAGGAGGTCATCTGAACTTGGAAAGCCGAAGTCTCGAATGGAGTCCTCTGCTCAAAAGGGGGTGTGGTGTTTTGCCCGAAGCCTAACATGAATCTTCCTCGCTGCTAAGGCTCACAGAGGAAAGACAAGCAGAACAAGGTGATTAATGCGAGTCTCGGCAGAAGCTTATAGTATCAGGGAGGATCAGGGCCTGTCGTTGCCCGGGTATCTCATATCTTGGCGGCACCGCTGCAGATTCTGCAAGGATCACCGACCATCTTGGCAACCGTGGGCAAGTAATTGTAGCCGTCCGACCAGTACACGAAAAAGAGTACCGTCTGCTTGGAGCCTCGACTGAAGTTTGGTCGTGGGTACCGCAGTTGGTCGGCCCAGCGCTGCGCGCTGCTTCCTGCGACAGGGCATGTCTCAAAAGCAGATGGAGTTCAACTGGCGGAATGTTTGGTTAGCCCTTACGAGCGGGTGATCAAGGACAGTGCCACAGGTAAGGTTGCTTTTCGCAACGAAGTCTTTTGCATTTCCAACTGCAGGACACGAGCGGAAAGTTGCACAAGGCCAGGGTCGAGAGACGGCTTGTTTTTGATTTGGGCACAATCCGAGATGATGATTGAGGCCATGACGGTGGCATGCGTTTCTGACCAAATCATGAAGGAAGGCTGGTGGTTGGCGCCACTGTCGGCGGACGCGGCCTGCTGCGACATGTGCCTGCAGGGCGGTTGAGCATTCACCTCTGCAAAGATCCGGACACAGAATGGCTGTGCACAGCCTGCTGCTACAGGACTGTAGCTGCCGTTGTCCATGTTTCCGCCAAGTTGCGTGCCGCCGGGTCATGTCTTTAGAAGCCAACTTCAGAAGCCAACCTGGGCTCAGGCTCGGAACCGAAGCGAAGCTTAGCGAAGCTGAAGCTTTCGGTGACAAGGGAGCCGACCGCAAGGTGTGTGCGGAGTTTCAAAAATCTGAAAACGTAGTCAGCCTTGCAGGCATCCTGAAAATAATGCAGGCGGTGTGAGGGTATCGTCGTAAAGAAACTTCTGCAGACGCACGCGCATTACCCAGAAAACTGTACAGATCGACAGGGTGGGTGCATGTGGGGGCACCAGGTTATGCTGTGCAGCACTTGCATCACTAAAGTGGAGTGAAGCCTTCGGAAAGAAGAAGAATAGAACGATAGACACAAGAGTTGGTGACCTCGGTCACAGGGCTTGAGTTCAAGTTCTCTGACGAGGTCATTCCATTCATGCGGAATTGTCGGACGAGCGGAGTGGAGCAGTGTGGGCGAGTGTGGGGGTCATAAATGCGTTCCGGACTTTTTCGTTCACATGCCCTTCTGACGAAAACCAAGCAGGCATGCGCGCGAATTTCCGCAACAAGAACTGATCTTGTGGCAGTTTGCCGTAGCCCTCGGAGGACTCCGAGCCTCATCTTTCACTTCGACGAGCTGGAGCCTGCTGGGGTTCCGCCCCCAGCCCGCTTGCATTATGCCATTATGCCGTCTGCTTCTGCGAACCGCACGGAGAGTTGGTCTGCACGTGTCTGTGATCATTTGTTGTGTAGCACACGTGTGTGCGCATGGACATGAGCGACTCGTCGTGCCGGCAGCTGTCCCGGCTCGACGTCGCTTTTTCGGTGACCAGGCGCTTTGTAGCATCTCCTCCCGGCCGAGCCATGTCATACTCGCCGGCAGACATCGAGGCGGCCTTTGCGGTGATCCTCGCGGCGTTGGAGGAAGGGGAGGACTTGGCTCCCTTCCTCCAACAGTTCCCGCCTGGCGCCCGGGGCCTTGATGTTGATGCTGCAGGCGTCGTTGCCGGCGACCCGGACAGCTACGACTCCTGAGCCGGCGCCGCCTAAGGCGGCTCAGCCGGCAGATGGATCTGGTTCGAATGACGGCGGGGCGTCGAGCTCGGCTGGGCCGGCGGTTCCTGAGCCGAGCCCTGAGCCCCCGGCAAGCACATCGGCGCAGGCGCAGCCGGCGCCGTGGCCGCTTCCTCCGGCTCGGAAGCAGCCGCCGCCAGTGCCGGCGAACCAGGACGCAGGGCAGCAGCAGGCGAAGTCGGCGGCGATCCCGGCCAAGCCCAAGCCCAAGGAGCCGCCGGTCGCCCTTTGGGAGTCCTCCGGCTATATGTCGGAGGCGGACGCCCGGCGAGCCGCGGACGGAGATTCCCGGCAGAGTGCTGGCTGGCGGCGGCGCAGGTGAGGCGGCCCCAGATGAGGCCCCAGCTCGCCGGGACCGGCGCGGCCGGCGCAGGCGGTGATGCCGGTAGCGCCCGACGGTCCAGCGGATTACTCGCCGGCGGTGCACCTGGTGGAGAGTGAGCCCATCGAGAACGCTGAGAAGGGGGCGAAGGTGCACCGCCCGGACCCGGCTGA